TTCCAATGCCTCTTATATCTTTATTTCAGATCGTACTGGCTAACAAGCTCTATGAGGCTGGCCTTGTCATTACCGACTCCTGTTTACCAGAATGTCCTTGGAATGATTCCGGTAGCGAAGACGATGAGAGCGAAGAAGAGGCGGATGAAGTAGAGACGGATGATGGCGAGGAGGAGGAAGAGGACGAGGAAGCAAAAGAGGCTAATGCGTGATGAGAGCTGTTGGGTTTCCTCTCTTGCCACCATTTATGTTTTTTGTACAGAGCCCTGACAAATATCACGGATCCTACTCAATTGGCTTTGCCTTTTACAGAAAATTGACTTCGGCCGTCTGCGTGCAGTTGTCAATTGAGCTTGAGACCTTTGGGCCAGTGGAAGTAGTGCTACTCCTTGCCATTTTAGTCCATTCCCGCCTTGTGGGCTTCTGTTAACCCCCTTCCCCTTGTGTACTATAATGTGTTCGTCCGATTTCCTCTCCCCTAGTTTGCGGCAGCTCGTGTCCGGACGGATTTTTTCAGTCCACCAATTGCGGGCCCGTTGGCTGATGATACCGACTTCCTGTATTCAACATAACCTCGAGGACAGTTGATATGCATTGTGGGCTGATAGCTGTCTGTTTAGCCGGTGAATGCAGTGCAAGATTCAGGCTCTGTCATTTTTCCCCCCTCCTAAGTGAGCCCGGTCGCTTGGGGAAAGAAGACCTTGGTAAGTTTGAGGCCGCGACTTTGGTGTGGAATCTGCATCGCCAACAACTTCAACTGGGGTCTGTCAGTGTGGAAAGCTTGCTGTGTGATTACCTATTGCAAATCCTGTGCAACACAAGGGGCCACGGGGTAGATGGGCTGGACCCATACGGCGGCCACATCAACTTCTGGCAGGCGTTATCGTCGGGGATGCGCGCCAGTAAAAAGTGCCAACATTCGGGGTGCGCTGGCAGGTTCGTGCCGTGCCGACTGGGGGGATCCTGCCCGCTGTTGTTTAGACTCCCTGTCAAGTGTTTGTTAAGAAGTAGAAGCGATCACTGGAACAAGAGCTTTATTCGCCTGACTTTTCGAATTCTCACTTTAACCCTTCACCAGAGACGGTGGCAGAAACGGGTGATTCGTGCGCAGGTAGTTGCAGTACTTATAAGATGCAGCCGCCGTGCTGCTGCACACCTATGATGATTAACCACCCTCCTCTTCATCGAAAATTGTTGCCCGCTAGTGTGCCAATTGCTTGATGACCGGCGTGCAAGTTGTTAATTACTGAAATCTCCTAACCCGTGATTGCTCGGCCCTCTGGCTCACCGGCTTGTGCGCTCCCCAAATGGTCAATTGCTTTGGCAAGACTATGCCTCTGCACCGAACATTGAATGGGGACGTCGTTGATAAACTGTCGTCCCGTGAACTATGACTCCAGCAACTCGCGGCTCACGCGATTACCCCTTCTCGCGAGAATTTCGGCTTCATCGAACTTGGATGTGTGGCCAGGTCTCGCCGACCTGGGAGTTGGCGTCATTTCTCCCCAAGTGGTGCGAGAAGCCGACTAACGGCCTCGGAAACGTTCTTGATGTACGGGATCGCTCGCCAGAATATGGGGTCGGCACGATTTTGTCGCTCGTCCCATTTGCGCGTGCACTGGCTGACGAAGTTGGGCGGGTAACCTTTTGCTCCTAAAACCCGTCGAAGATATTGGGATTCGGCAACTGCAGGGCGTCTCAACAGCCGATATAGCGTCCTTACGCAATTCCGTTGGTAGCTAATTTGGGTGGTTGCTGTTGACGTTCAGTATTTGCGTCGTGTTTGTTGCTAAACTGGGGGTGTGGTGATACGCCTAGGTGCGGGTTTACGCTGCGCCTGCCACCTGCGGCCTCTCGCGCCTCCTGTCTTCCTGACTATGTCCTGAGACTGCATCCAGGTGGGGGGTAAGAGGAGAGGGTGCGGTAGGTGCAGCGCAAGTCAACTACCACTATGAACTGAACCATGTCCCTGTTCTCACCCTGCTGAGGCATCATCGAACTCGACGGTCGAACCGTCGTAACGTAATTGTCCTTATTTCGCCCCTCATTCTCGTGGCTGCAATAATAACCGAACCTAGGGGCCTCTGTTTGTCCAAGTTTTAAAATTGACCGTTTAACTGTCAGTGGCGCACCGTGTGCTTCCAGTTATGACTTCTGGTTTGACTAGCAGTTACTCCCCCCTAAGTGTCCACTGGTGCAATTACATCACGCGCAGCCGCCTGCGATGTTTGAGAAGCGTGTCTCGGCAGCATCGACCAGGACCGGCTAGCGTCTTCGAAGTCAAAGTAGTGGGCGCAGTTCGCAGGTGGGGCATTGGGAGCGACGAACACTTACATGGCTAAAAACTAGAAAGGGTGACGGTCTTTGGAGTGGATGGACCGCGTCCTGCCTCTGTTCTCGTGTGAGCTTCCTGGTAGGGGTGTGCTGGTTCCTTCCTTCCGTTAAGCATTAACTCAGCTGAGTAGGTTTGTGGTAGTAAAGAGATATCTTTCGATGACGACCCACGCGCGCACAATAGGCCCTGAAACCCGCGGGACTTCAGGTGTTTCTACTGATACTTCGGCTCCCTAATCTTCCTTAAAACTGACTGTTAGCTTGATGTTAATCTACCACAAAAAAGCTTTATGGAATTTTTATGCCTGTTGGAAGATATGATGGAAGTGGGTCGTATAACTGATGAGCGGACACGGCGGCCACCGGGACCTTCTCGCGGTCGCTCACGGAAGTTCAACTTAGACGGCAGTCTTTAGTTAAATCGCATATACATTTCCCACCAGGCTGTCATCTGAAACCGACAGGCTGGTTCTCTCGCGAGGAAGTGACTTGAGGTTCATTTGTCTCAGTAATTTTGGAGCAGAGTCCATTATCGAAATGTTCCAAATGCAGAAGGACGGAATCTCCTCCTCCTGACACTTATCTGTCGGCTGGTTCATTTGGTGCGCCATAGCAGGACTCAGTGGATGCCGGGCTGTCTGAAGTTCCTTGAAAGCTTGCTTATCAAAACTCCTTCATGACCAAACTCGTGCAGTTAAATCAAGGGTGCAGTTCTAGCAGTTGTCCTGTGGACAGAGGATTTAAAAACCATCAGAGGCTGTTCGAGCGACAACTCCCAAGTGCGCGTTCTATGGGCTGCTGAATGTGTTCCCCACGCCTCACACAGCGCTCGGTATGGCTTCTGACGGTAATTGGCCTTGACGCAGGCTGGATGGCCTATGCGACCGCTGAGAGTGGGTTTCTCTGTAGACCCCAGAGCAGGACGTTTCGGGCCAGAATTGCCATTGCACAGTTTGTTGAACTTTGCTGACAGTATGTCAATACGGACAAAGACCAGGGAGACTGGAATGGCCATTTCTGGTTTATTAGCTGTCGTCAGTCAGTCATACCCAACCCCGAAGTGTGGAACACCTGGGGCTCGAACTCGCGACCTGTTAGAAGTCCACGCCTCTAACCACTGCGTTACGAGCCCGTTGCCCTGTCGCCTACAATCGGGAATATACAATGGTAGAGGAGCGCTCACCGATCGTTCTTGCGGAACTCACTCGTTCCGTTGTGCCTTACGGGCTCTTTCCCTCGAACCCAACCAGCAGCCACACAGCGGCGCATGATACAGGCAGTATATTGTCGGTGAGCGCCCCTTACCACTGCATATTCCCGATCGAAAACCGACAGGGCAGCGGGCTCGTGGCTCAGTGGTTAGAGGCGTGTACTTCTAACTAACAGGTCGCGAGTTCGAGCCTCGAGTGTTCCACACTTCGGGGTTGGGTATGATTGGCTGACGGCGGCCAATAAGCCAGAAGTGGCCATCCCAGTCCCCCTTGTCTTTGTCGGTAATAACATACGGCCTATATCATGCGCCACTGTGCGGCTGTTGGTTTGGCCCGAGAGAGAACCCGTAAGGCACAACGGAACGAGTGAATTTCGTAAGAACGATCGGTGAGCGCCCCCCATCACCGAACTTTGCTGAGTCCTCGCCGCCGTCCACAAATACGTGTTACACCTTAACGGCGACCTTCACTTCACGTCGGCTCCTGCACCCAATCTCGTCACCAGCTTGTTGACAGGCTCGGACAGTCAACCGGTGCATTTAGGAAGAGGCGGCACGGGAGAACCCTCCCTCAGTACATCATAACAAGCCCGTCGCATTTTAACTTATCGTGACTCCGAAGGCTTCCAACGACGGGGTCACCCATCATATGAGGTCTGCAACGCCTTGAATATAACTGCCGCATCCACAGTTACGGGGCGGGCCCCGTGAGTCGCGTACACGACATGTTCCGTCCCGTCAGTCACTGCGGCCGCTTCCACCGTTACAAGGTAGGCGAGACGAAAGTGAGGTGGATATAGTGCAAGTCGCTGGTGTTGCGCTCACTCTGCGGGGCACACAGTAGACCACGTCGCCTGCGACGACCGAGCCCTCGGGTGTCTGAGCAACAACTCCGACGATTAAAAGACAGCTGGTAGATTTGTGGACCTGCCTTCCTGCCAGCCAGAGAGAGAGAGTATATTCACCGAAAAGACGTCCCTTGGGGACCCTTTGCTGCTGACAGGGAGACTAAAGTTGCATACATACGATCACAAGCATCGCCAGGAATCGCTTTTTTGCCCACCAACTCGGAATCAGAAGCCCTACAGTGACACTGCAACCATGTAGTCATCAGCAACGCCTACGAGACGTCTCACTCGCCTCGTTATACAGTCCGAGAACGACCTGCAGATGAGGAAGACATCCATGGACCTGCCAACAGGGTGCATTAAAGATAAACGGTGGAGGCATTCTTTTGCGAAAACGCAACCAAAAATCCCCTGATAAGCTCTCAGGATGCAACGGAACGGATGCTGATTCGGAACCTAAACGTGGCACCCACCAACCAAAGAAAGGTAGCAAAAGAAAGGCTCTGTTCGATGAATGGTGAAATCAAGGGAAGAGAGGGGGAGAAGTGAAAGACACTCGGCCAATCAATGAAAAGTGAAAGCAGTGGAAAATAGTACAAGTGAGGGTATTAGTTAACAAAAAAGAGTTCATTAAATAGTTCCTCTTCCTCGGCGGAAAGCAGGCTGCCCAGTTCACCGAAGGCCCGACGGGATGATGGACAGCCACTGCTAGTGTGTTTGCAGTTGTTTAGTATCTCTATGTAGGGCGGAGGGGGAAGGATTAGAAAACGCCTCACAAATTGGAAAATAAAGGATCGGATGGCAAGAAGAATAAGAAACGCGTATGCATCGCCCGGTGCGTGTCTTAGCCTTTGATCCCCGCAACATGCGCCAAGTGATCCCAGGCTTCGGGTGGATTCAACCATTGATCCTAAAGGGTCAGGCTAGCGTCTAAAGATGTTTTCGTCGTTTACTGTTGACAGACGCGCCTATAATAAGGGTGCTTCAGGTGGTTCTTAAAGTTCCAGAATATTTCGCCTGATGGTATCATTTAATATGGGGAGTTATACGAGGCTATTTTGACAGTATGTGCAGAAATACATCTCACCTACAAGCAAACTCTCAAAGAGGTTCTAGTCCAATCCCATACAAGATGAGTGCATCAGCATTTCTAAGGTCAAGTAAACCATAGTCTACAAAACTCCGCTTGTTAGTTGGATCGCGTGTAGAAATAGTACCATTATCAGTAATAATGAGTTCGAAAGGTTAATTTCTTGCTTGGACGGCCTAACGGCAACTACTATGACCTAAACAAAATCCCTAGTCCCGCTGTTTTCACCGACTGCGAAGGGGTGAACGTCCCGCGTTCGGTGAGTTGTGGACGGTAATTCTGACACCGCTTTTTCTCGCTACTAATGGTTATCGATGTATTCGCATTTGGTGGAATGTTTGCGTCCGTGTGATCCACTTCTTTGGCCAGGAACTATTGAATTAGGTCAAACACTCCTGTTAGGTCCAGTAAATCGCTGCGGCTCATTAAGTGGCATCGGGCGACGGTAATCCAGAAAACCGAAAGCATGGGGTTGAATGGCATGCGCATTCTGGAAATGCTGCGCCGAGTCTTTGACTGTCCGCTCCAATTACTGGTTAGGGCATACATCTGAAAAATCGACTGAATAAAACCGGTGCCTCCGCAACCGAACATCACTTTACTGTCTGAACAATAAGGCACGTCTATTTTCTTCTGTTCGTACGCAGAAACGAACACATACGGGCAACTTACGACTTAAATACAGTCCTTCTTCTAGTTCTCTTGAAAGAGCTGTCTTGCGTGACTTCGTCTGTACGGTTTTAGTCTGTGGTCGTCCTCCGAACTCAAGCTGCACCTGACGACGAAAATGGAGGTTGGGCGCTTGCCTGTTCGAGTCTCTGCGGGACAGTAGATGGAGTCGCCTGGGCTTTGAGGACGCCGCAGCAAATGTTGAGGTCGGAGGGGACGAAGCAAGGCGTCGGGCAGCTCGTTGAGCAGCGAGACGTTTCAACTCCACATTGTCCGAGGGGCGGGGTGAGGTGCTACGACCGGCACTGATGTCACTGGAGGCGGTACCCACGGGCACAGGTATGGATGGTGACTGGGCCCCGGTCGAAGCGGTTGCGGCGGAGACATAAGCCGACGTTTGGGTTTCGAGAGACTGAATGGTAAATGTGAATCATGAAAAATATAAATGCATAAAACGTCTACTATCGTCAATTAAGTAGGGGTTATGTTTTCTAGACCCTTGTACAAGTGTCTGATGACGACGTAGGGTGTCTACTTCATGACTTGAACTTGAATACCCTTCTTAAATGGAAACAAATTCGATCATCTGGATTGTCTGTGTCATAGTTTTGGAAATTCCACTGACGGCCAACTTGCTGTTAACATTCAAAGCCAGCTTCAAAATTCACGAATACTAATGCTGAGAAGAGTACCTAAAGAAGCTTCAGAACTGTTGACATACAGTTGCCGTGAGCAGGTGCATAGAACAGGTCAGTTCCAAGAATTGAACGAAAACTTGAAGTGACTATTCCCAACAACGCATGACAGACAGAATGCCACATGAGATTGCTGTCTGGCACCAATTTATACCGATATTAGGATGCGAGTGGGCATTTACATTTTGCCTTAGGGCTTCGAGTCTTGAGTTCTCGTGGGTGGCCATTAATGGTTTGTTTACTGCCATCAGTCAGACGTGCCCCGGTCCTAACATGGACGCCTGAGTTTAAAGTAATCTGCTGTCCCCCCAATGTGACCTGTCTTCGTCGGTAACACTTAACGCAGAATATGCACCCGGTGAAAGCCGGTGCACTAGTGATAGTTTACCTCTGGGGCCGCCGTGTCCTCTGTGACTGCATTTGAATTTCGCTGACTGCTCTCTGGCACGACAAGATCTGTCTGCACAGCATTCTCGGATGACGACTTCTGTTCACCCATTTGGACAGCCTCATCGATAAGGACTTTGGGTTTCTTTAAGTCCTGTCGGGAAGGTAGAGAGGGAGAGTGGTTAGCGAGTAACTCCTGAGCAGGGATTACAGGGGGCGGGGTCATCGCGGCCAGTTTAAGGGGAGGGTCCTTGGGTTTGCAAGAATCTCTGAGAGTGCAACTTCCGACCTCTTCATCACTCAGAACTTCCCAAACGGGCACGGAACATGCACGTCCCATAGTGTTCAGTCGTTCTGGTTTGCTATCCATTACTGCGAATGGCTTTTCAGACGGCAGAACATCCGCGGCTGTCTAAAGGCGATGAAAAGAGCAAGATTTAGTAAAAGATGACTAACCAAGCTTCCTCAGGCGGATTGATAACGACAACACATGGTTAATACGCATTCAAGCGCAACCAATTATAATGATGATACCGGACCTATCCTGCGTCTGAAGTTGGCAATGACGGTTGAGTTTAGCCTGGTGGCACGGTTTCACTAATATGCCTCGTAGTAGATGCCGTCGCGGTTAGCGCGACCTATGTAAACTTTCGCCATTTCGGTGACAAGACTAGAGGTCTAGCTGATGATAGTTTTAAATGCGCGAATGCACCCTTCCAGGACCGAAAGTATGTAAAGGGACGTGTGTTGCAAAATCAGACTGGCTTGACCAGACAAGCGACGACAATTCTACATGCAACCGGGGCAGGTGGAACGCGCAGACAAGGTCACCAGTTATGTCAGCCACTGCGTTCATTCCCCTAATCTGACAACTAATCGACTCGGATGGTGGATGGGGCCTGGGAGTTGGATTAGAGAATGAGGTCAACGACTTGGCGCATTTTCATTAATGTTAACAATGTGACCCGCTTGTAGCTGTCACGGTGCCTTAAAAGCCATGGCTTGGAAGGTTGCCAATTGGCGGGGTAATTTGATCCTTGCAGTCGGCCCAGTGTGTTGTGTTGTGTGGCCGACTTTTGGCCTGAGAGCCATGCTACAATGGCTCCTTCCTAATGTGGCCTTCACGGCACTCTCGCCTAGTGGGACCCGAACCCGGTGTGACGACACGCCTAGGTGCGGCTCCGGCCGCGAGAGTCACCTTGACTCTCTCCTGACACCTGACCGGACGGGGGATGAGGGCGCGCATTAGGTGCAGCGCAAGTCCATTATCACTATAAAAGGAATCACGCACAATTTACCATGCCTGTTCTCACCCAGCTGTGGAACACACGGTGTACATCGCTGATCACGGTGATCGAACTCTCAGATGGCCTGACTGCGTTACGTATGCTCGAGGACAATCTCGTTTGGAAAGCTTTGACTGGGTAAAATGTGTAAATATATGAAAGGTGTAAGGCTTTGCATCGGTGTTGACTGGGACAAAACGAAAGTCTCGCCAACAAAGCAACGCCTGTGGACACTGCAGTACCTTTTTCTGTCCCTCCATCACTTACTAACCAAGAGACCTCCAATACATTGGTGTTTTGGAAGATTTTGAATAATTCATTATGATCAAACATATGAAAGACGCGGCACCTCGGTGGGGCTCGAATCCACGCAGTAAGGAGAAAGTCTTAGTACAGTCAACGCCCTAGCCACCTCAGCTGCGAGGCCCCGACGGTAGACCTGAGTTTAATAACATTTGGGTCAAGTTACCCGCCCAGCCTACAGCCGAGTCTTCAACGCTCTTCTCGAAACACACGAAGTCATATTAAAAAGCGGTCTGCAAAACAACGTACTTCGTCTGGCAGTTTAGATATAGGAGCAGCTGACGCCGGCCTCTCTGTCTCAAGTGATACTTTGTCCGATTCAGCCTGCAGACTCACGCCGTTGGCTTGATTTGACAGAGCACCTGCAAGGCGGCTCGATGGGGCATTGACGGAGGACATATGTTTCTGCCCATCATAGGACCTGCCTGTTCAAAGTCAGAGTAGTTGAGGTCTCTTTACCAAGGGCGGTCCAACAATTAGAGACGCTTGAAGAAGACAAAAAGCGTTTCGGCCTTACCTTGGCGTTCATCAGCTTGTGACCTGTTGCAGTCGGGTACGACGAGCCTGTGCCGACCGGGTGTCCATCCACCAAGACTCGCACGCAGGTTCTGAAGTTCAGACTCGAGTAGCGAGAGCTGGCGCTCGTACTGAGTGGGGGTTACCTGAAAGTGTGTGTGTGTGTGTGTGAAGAGGGTTCAATTAATGTCTGGTGCCAAAATAGGCGGAGGGATATGCAGGATAGCAACAAATCAATTTCTGGACAGTAACTGGCGCGAAGAAAGATAAAATCACATAGTCGAAATCCGTTGTTGACAACCAGAGTTCATACCTCTCATCCCCGTGGGAGCAATCAGGATCACAAAAGCCGCAAGGAACTTTATCAAAACGTCCACAGGTGCCTAGGTACCTGACATACGATATGAGCAGGAATTCATCACAAAGTGAACGACCCTTGTGAATGCGCTTTTCACTGAAACAGTAGATGGGTTTGCAAAGGAGATTTGCCGACAACCTGACGCAGAATGGGCATGGGGAGCGTTGATGGGTCGAACCTCTCGCAACTGCGTCATTCAGTGGCATAAAGTCGCGAGGCGCGTGTCTAGCCATTTAGCTAATACCTGTGGTCATTTGGCCTGCGGCCCTAAAACACCCACAGGTCGACTTCCCAGCCCGTTAGAAAGCATTTACTGTCTCGACGTAATAAGGTCCCAATGTCTTCCTATATTATCCCACTGAGTCGTAACTATCACGCAACTACCAGACCGTGATAAATTTAGTACACAGCACCAACTAAAGCGGAAAATGGAAACATACATATTTCATGTTTGGAGGAACCAGAAGACGGCCGTTAATTTCCCAGTGATTGTTGGAGTGACAGCTGGTTGGGTCATTACTCCACCGTCGAGCAGGGATCGCGTTGATGGCGGGAGCGGCAAGTGGAGGGACGTTTTGGGCACTAATCAAAGACTGAGTCAATCGGTAACTGCTGCAGGGCAGGTTGGGAGGGTTAATTAGGCAGGGAGGAAAGGTAGAGCGTTCTGTCTCAAGTGAGGTTACCAAAGGCAGAGATGATGTATTCCGCTGACAAGTTAGCTGGTGTAGTTCGGAACCTGACGGGTCATGCAGCATGGGAGATTGCGCCGATGAATTTTCGATCAGGGCACCCTGTAGGAAATCAAGGCCAGGGTTCAGGCGTGTGGTTTCCAACGGCACATTTTTACTTCCCAGTGCGGCTTGAACAGAGGACTGCTGCAGCAACTGCTGCTCGTTCGCGGCCTCAAGCGCATTCTGGACGTCGGAAAGGTGACTGACAAGATCGGCAAGCCTTTCACGATCTTCGGGACACAAATCCGTAAGTCTACAACCACCGGATGCAGCGGCAGCCTTTCGCTTGGTCATGGAGGGACGTGGCTAAATGGAAACACCTCAGACACAGTAAAACATGAAAACAAGTGACATTAATGTGTACTTAAGGTTGTACATATATGATTCCGAAGAGAAAAGGGATTCGGGGCAAGCTACAGTCATTATGAATTGCATGAACAGAGGTGACCATCAAAATAAGATATGTGTCCATGGACAGTTCTTAAAAAACCCTTCCAGTTTCCGTCGCACATAAACGCAACAGGCCACAATGACAGCAATTATCTGGGCAACGTAGGGCCAGGGCCACAGGCCCAAAAACAAAGGTCAAGCCAGTGCAAGCAACAGGGGGTGCACTTTTCAAATGGCTTTCTGATGACTGGATGCTTACTGGCTGTGGAATTTCTTGACTTGGACCAAGACCTGACAGTCTGCACTTCTGGAAGATACCCAATCTCGCCAAAAATGTTCGCCATTAGAATTATATCTATTCGCGTGAAGTGAGCTGGGTACACATCGTAAACTTTCAAGAAAGCGACAGCCACAGGTTACTCGGCACGTTTTATGATGGCTAGCTGCGAAGAAAACTCTCGAGTCTGACAAATAGGTAGTCGCAAATCCTGCAGCTATCATATCATCAGGAGTGGTCGGACATCAAGGTGGTAACTCCATTAGCCATGGAAACTTCACAGACCAGAGCAATATTAGTATATGACAAAAGTTGTCCGGCATTAAATAAGGCTGCCCATGCGGGTCCGTTTCTGAATAGGACCCTACCAATAGATTGAACAAGACAAGACACTTCGTTGAACCACATCTCCGGGAATAGCCATGAGCATTAACGGCTTATAATATGGACTGCGAACCCGACTAAACCAGTATTGGTGCCAGTCGACATAGCAATTGAAACGAAGTCTGGTTGAGTTAGAGCTCATCAGCTAGAGTAAAAGGTTTCTTTTCAAAACAAAGTGTTACAGGCCGATCTAGCATGGAGAAAACTATGTTTGATACCCAATCCAATGTGATAGAAGCACAATTTTAAAATGAAATTGCCATTGTCGTATGAGCTTAACCAGCCCTACCGTCCTCCTCCTGGTTAAACATCAGCTACTGTCACTGTAGCGCGACTATTAAGTGAAACATTATTCCCCTAACGCTCCCCTGCATCGCAGTGCCGCATTACTCCTTCATGTTTACCGTGATGGCCTGTGACGCTTACTATTATTTGTTTTTCAATTCTGCAAAGTCACAAAGTAACCTTCACGAAAATTCCGGTAACTTTGAACTATGGGTACTTATCTAAGCCTTCATTTTTAACCTTCAGATACGGTCGGAGTTGTCATTTGATCAAAAATGAATTTCGGGGGCCAAAAGGCCAATAAGTAGAATAAATCCGAACGCCAATGGAAAATACTAATGCGCTGTCAGAGTCCGGCAGCCGGGATTAATTGTAATCAACATATTTCCGTAGGCATTATAATGGAGAGAAACGATGATGGGGGAATGCGGAAACTTACCTTACATTTTGTATTCTGTGCAGAATCTCGGGTACAGTAAGAGCGTCCGGGTTCTTTCAGGAATGGGGGAGTACTGTTGTCGCTTAAATTGCTGGATTTGATACGAGTGTCGGGATGAACCAAACTCATTGTAAAATAACCCTAAATTTAGGATAAGATGGCTTACGCTACGAAAATAGGATGAGTATAGGATATAACCCCAACGTCATGTCTATGTATAAAAAGGCATAGCAGAATATATTCGAAATACACAAGAAAAAAGCTGGAATTTTTCTTATTACAACGCGTAACCGAACGAATCACGATTTGATGAGTCAAGAGCTCAGACAATGCTTCGTATTTTACATACCAGCTTGAAAAAGGCCATGAAAAGCAAAAGGACATTACGCCGGAACCCGCAACTCAACATTGCCGGCACTTAGGCCACGCCATGTCTTGCAGTTCGTCAGATAAAGCTAATGAGGGCCAAAACTACATGAGGGAACCAGGAAGCACAACTCGGCATATATTTTTAAGTTGGAATTTTTTAAAATTCGATGACGAACTCATATAAACAGCACGCACTTTCTTCTATCGTCGTATTTCTACCAAATTGCTATTGTTGCCTTATGGCTTTGATAATTATCAGTCGCAAGTTGACATCACTGACAGTATTAAACTTCCAGACCAACGTGGAGTCATACTAAGTCGATAAAAACCGTTCCGAAATGGATTCCACCCTGCCGCTTGAAAACCGTTGCATTCACAACAGAACTGTAATTTTTTGAAACCAAACCACTGACTACGAACTATTTCTACTACGTTAAACTTGATCAGCAGTGCGAATGCGGGCTCGGTTGACAATGGTGTGATGCAACGGGGATGTCTGCGATTCATAGTCAAGCACAGGTTATTTGGAGTCAGTGGGTAACATGGATGTACGCAATACGGAGAAGGTGGTCATCCAATTTATATCGACAAATGTGTCTGCAATGTGTCAGCATGCAATCAACCAAAAAATAATCTAGTAAACTATGACCAACCAGGGACCGCGGTAAATAATGTGTAAAAAGGCGATCTATCTGGACGTTTGGTCATGTCGAATCGAGTAAATAAGACTATTTAGTGGTATCAACAAATGACTATAAAACTTGTGCATGGCAGTGTCAGTACTCAGGTGAAATAATACGATGCGTAGAATAGTATGCGAAACGGGATTATTGTCAGCGGTTTGCGAATGCCGACGGCTAATTCATCGGTCCTGGGAACTGTTGTAAACACCAAATAGTTAAACTAACTCGAGTGGTATTTTAACACTACAAAAAGCTCCGAGAGATCGCTATTGTGCTCATTATTTACTTGTTTGTCGGTGCCATCGATGTTAAAATATCGAGGGAATCGACAACGTAAATGTCGCAAGAAAGTTGTAGTCTACAGGACTTTCCGGGACACTTTCTGGTCCAGATCATTTTTACCCATTATATATCTCGAAAGACGGAAACAAAGATAGACTAATGGAGCGAGAGAATTGCAGACGCCACACAACCCCTTACCCCAACAAAAGAACAAACAACTACGAAAAATGCGCCCAGAACGTTCCTATTTGCCGGTGCAATGAAACAAGAAGTCAGATTATTCATTTGTAGTAAGGAAAAGATGGTAATATCCTTTCCCGGAAATAGGAGATGCTTTTCAAATGCATCTTAATAGTTCACAGTAAAAATACGAGAGATAACGCTCAAAGGCTGAACAGTACAGTATGAATTTTATGAATGCGCGGCTTCCTGAGATTTCACATATGGGTCAAAGGGAATCATTTAATGTCTGTCAGAACAGTTATTGATTATGAAGTACTTGAAAGCTCGCATCCAGTTATCTCCAAAATTACTTCGTTATTTGAATAAACTACAGCATAATATCTCTCCCTCTGCAAAGATCGATAGCGTCACTTTATAGTGGCTGAGCACTGAAGTCACCGATTTTAATTGGGTCCAGTGCAGCTGGCCACTTGTGTTAGAGGGTTTGCTCTTATCAATGCAGTTTTTTAAAAGTTAGCACTTGCTGGCTTCTTCCTATACAGCTCAAGGCAAAATCTTCTTCTCTTTCATACGAATAGCCGCGACTGAATTCGTATCTTTCGCTGGTGTCTCAAAAATATTTGAACCAGCCATAAGCGCAGACGAAATCTCCCTGCTAGTAAATTTCTACGCACCAATTTATTCCGTAAACTAGAAGGGAGGAAGCAATAACCTGGTCCGAAAGTGTTTTTTTCTGCTTTATTTTTAGCCAAACTCTATGGTTTTTGCTCTAGAGATAGGCAATTCGCTCACCAATCAAGCTGTCAAACCAGTCGTGGGAGTAAACCACGTTATTGTATTTATTTTGTGGTGATTTTGGTAGAACGGCAGAAGCTGGACCAGCTGTTAAGACCTTAGGCGTTAATCGGGCCGCTTGCTTTCGGAGGACCGGGAAAACCGACGTTCGCCAACGGCAGTGATTTCAACAACTGGTCCGGTCCATCTCAATACCTCAAAAACAAATGACTGAAAGAAGTTTGCCCGTACGATTGTGCTTTCAACGAAATCCGTGCACTGAATGCACCTACACTTCCAATAATTGAAAATCGTACATTATCATCAAAGAGTTTCGCTGAGACGGAAGGAGCGCTTATGCGATTTGCACATGGATCATTCTAACTTAGCATATCCCTGTTCTTAAGACCCGGTGGAAGCCACAAAAGAGCACTGGCAAAACTACCGTTCAATTCAGTTACTGGTTTCCGTTATTTAGACGAGTTATTTGTGCGTTCTTGATATTTCGATAAGGAGTATTATTTAAATGCGATTTCTCTAAAAGCTGTGATAGAATATTTGAATTAAATGTCATAATAACACTGCGGATAGGTCGCCCAGAACATAAATGGTGCCAAGGCAGGCATTGGCTTAATTAACCGTTTTTCTCCTAATTTGCGCATGTTGATTGGCTGGGATGCCGATGATAGAGGAAGAGACAAACCTGTTGAGCGACGAAGACTGCAGATAATTTGGCTGTTTTATAAAACTCAAATAAATTGATTGAGTCTTAGTACCATTCTTTATGTTTAGAGAAGATGCCACCAGTTGCGGACATGTTTTCTCTCTTATGCATGGTCACTGGGTTGAACCTGACGGTATATTCAAACTTACGTACGCAATTAATGCTTATATTCGGAGATAAAGGTCGAATATGTAGGCCTAGCCCCGCGAAGATTTGCCTCATCTGTGAATAATCTGACTGCAGAGCTTGCGGGACTGTACTAAAGAAGCCAATGAGGCTTGCCTTTGTGCTAAACTTGGCCTTTCAATAATGAGCAAAATAGTTGGTCCTCATTCATGTTTCCCGTCAACTAAATCGTAGCCAAATCGTATTTTTTGGCTACATGTTCCAGTAAATATGTACGACTTGGAAAGTTTAACCACATACATTTGAAGCAGTCATTTACTTTGGGCTTCACAGCTATTTCTTTATTTTCATATATGAAACTTAAACTGTCGTCACTGA